ACCACCACATTACAAGATGCAGCTCATAAATGAATAAATAATTCCGTTGATGGCAGGGATTCATGTATTCATCGAGCTAATACAGCAATTCAAATAAATCATAAACTTATTTTAGAATTTGCTTATATCAGGAGTTCCATTCCTAATATCCATTAGGTATAGGTACAATACAGTACACAATGCTTTTATGCTGTCCCCATGAGCAATGAACTTTGCTCAAAGAAATTTAGGTTTTGACTTCCACCATTAAGGCTCTAGCAAACATGAACAAATATTTAACCTCAAATCAGTATTCTTTAAGTCTGACAAATTTCATTAATTTGAACAAATGTGGAGGAATTCCTATATTATTGTTCTTTTAAAGACCTCTATTCTTTTAAGGACCTCTATTCGCAAATCAATTTCTAAATTAGAATGGAAATGCTACTAAATCCCTATAATTCACAGAACTTCCATTAGAGAACCTGCGCAGGAATTCTTTAAAGGAAAAGAAGGATCACCAAATTTACCGCCATCTAATCAATCTCAACAACCACACATCTATAACTTTAGAATTAAAAAAAAAAAAAAATCAGCGAGTAGCAAACGTCAACACTTACAGATTTCTCATATCGATCTCTCTCAGCAGCAGAGCAGATCTCAGAAGTACACACCAAGCGATGCTCATTTTTCCAGTAGATATCTGGACAGATCAACCACAAAATCGAATCACAAAACCAGCGTAATAAAGAAAACAAAATCCTAGAAAATCAAGAGAAAGGAAAAAGCTCCGAAACCTAATAGCTGGAATCCGGCAAAGGGAACGACAAAGAGTGCTGGTTGGAGGATGAGAGAAACGAGCGAGACGAGACGCTTCTTGACGAGCTTGGGCGAGGGGAGAGTGACGAGGAGCGCCAGTGCCGCCTCCGCTGCCACCACGTACGTCAGTATCATCCACTGCAACGCCATTTTCCTTCTTCCTTCTGATTTTCCTGTTGCGAATATTTCTTTCTTCCCAGTGATTTTCTTCTGAGCTTTAATCTTTGTGGCGTGTTGCACACCTGTCACTGTACCGATAGTTCCGATTACTTTTTTGGTTATATCCCCGATTCAGTCCCTAAACTTTCATTTTTTAACTAAAACTACCCTCAAACTTCAAAAAGTACTAAAAAAATCCTTAAACTTTAATTTTTGGGACCAATTTCGTCCTTCCGTCAGTTAAGTGCTGACATGGCAACATTTCCCGTTAATAAATTCAATTTTTATTAATATTAAATATTACTTGAAAATAAAATGAGTGATGTGACATTTTTAATTATAAAAATATTATGACTCGACACCAAAAATATAATTTAATAAATAAATTTTTTTTTTCTTTCCTTTCTTTTTCTCCTTCTCTTTCCTTTTCTCCTTCCCCTCCCCTACTGGGTTCGAAGGAACCCAGCACCAACGCCTGGGTGAACCCAGGCACGGGTCGAGGCACCAGGCGTGCTGGGTTCGAGGAACCCAAGCCTGGGTTCCTTCGAACCCAGCATGCCTGGGTTTGGCTCTGGCCGCCGATCCTCTGGCTCCGACCCCGACGGCTGGTGCTGGCTCGTTGTCGCCGTCATTTGTCTCGGCTGTCTTTGCCGTCGTCGTTGCTTTGCTTCTCGGCTCCTCGCTTCGGATCTGAGCTGAGATTGCTTGCTGGCGGTCGTATGTCATTCGCTGATTGTGGATTCATAGGTATCTTGTTGAGCGGTCTGTTTGTTTTCCATTTTATTACCATATTGATATAGTAGTAAATCTAGAGGCTTCACGAACGTTCCTCGAACCCAGGCACTGGGTTCCGAACCCAATGCCTGGGTTTGAGTCGAACCCGTCTGGGTTTTTTTGTTCTGTTTCTTTGTTGGCTTGCAGTCATGCTTGAATGGGATTTAGAGTTTTGTGTGGTTTCTGATTGCTTGAATTTCCAGATTTAGTTACTGTTGATGTTGATTGAAGGAATGTAGTGTTTTTTTCATTTTTCTTTGCAGATCTGGTATACATTTGTAGAGGAATTGATTTTTTGAATCAAATTTATTGAGTTCTATTAGGGAGGAGGTTTGGGGAAGAAGTAGATGGTGATTGGAGTG